TAGAGACTGTGAAGCTCATCACCACAACAAGATTTTAAGTCGATGAAGTACTTTTTTAAGTATGTAATTGGAATAATGTATTCTCAGGTCCATTGAAAAATAAAGCTGTTTGAGCTCTTTAGTCCTTGCAGAAGGCTGAGTTAGGAAGAAGTCAATCTTCTTGTGTTTTGTAGAAACCAGGGACTGGTTTTCATGTAAGACAATCTTTAGGTTTTTATTTTTTTTTTTAAACAGATTTCTAAGAGAGAAATAAACCCTCTGCATGTGTTGGGATTGTGTAGTTATCCTGGTTGCACAGAGAAGTTGTTGACACCCCATCCCTGGAAGTGTCCCAGGCCAGGTTGGATGGGGCTTTGAGCAACCTGGGCTAGTGGAAGGTGTCCCTGCCCATGGCAGGGGGTGGAATGTGATGGCCTTTAAGGTCCCTTCCAACCCAGACTGTTCTGTGATTCCATGAAAAGGTGTATTGCTGGGCAGCTGTGGTGGCTCTGTGTCCTTGTGACTCCTGCTGTGGTGCTCCTGTGAGGGACTGAAAACCTGAAAGAGTTTAATGACTCAAACATTCAGCAGAGGAGAAAAGGATCGTTCCCATGCCAAGGAGATAAGGGGCTGTGAGAAAAGAGGGTCTTTGGGGAGGCTTTGTGGGACCACCATCCAAAGGACCAGGGATAGCACTGGAATCCTGGCTGGTGACCTGGATTTTTTTTCCCTCTACCTCTATTTTCCTGTCCTTCTTTCTACCTTTCTTCTTCTCCTTAGAAGTTTAAATCCCTGTTGCCACGTGTTGTTCAGAAAAGTTTAATTTGCTGGCTGTTCAGAAAGCTTTAAATTGTTACCAGCACAGGCCATTCAACCTGTCATAAAGTCGAAATCGTTGCTGCCATAAATAAAAGTTTCTAATTGAACTTTGGCGTTGCTTCACCTTAATTTAGCCCAAGGGTACTCCCAAACGCGGAGTAGGCAGTCCAGGAATGTCCTGTAGGGACCTGATATTTTGCAGCTCTCCCAGAGCAGGTGGCCCAGGACTACCCTGTGGGGACAAAACAGCTGCTCATGGACTTACTAGTCTTGAACACCAGAGAGAAGCAAATCTGTTGCTGCTTTTCCCCTCCCCTGTTTCCTAATTATCCCTTGCAGGATATTTTCCCACTGCTTTCACAACTCTCTCCTGTTCCCATTTATGTATCATTTACTTCCTTCAGTTGCCCCAGTTCTTCCATCCCTTAAGCTCCTCTTTTCCCAGTCTGGAAAAATTCAAAGCAATTGAAGCCATTAGGGGGGTGGTGGTGGTTACCTTGGGGTTTTTGGGGGGGCAGAATCTGTTGTTCAGATGACAAATTTGAATTACTAACCCTTCTTTGCATCATCTTTGAGTCACAGTCATGAGGGAAATACAAAAGCTGGTGGATTTTCTAGATTTTAGAGGAATTGTTGAGGAGACATCAACCCTCTGGATTGTCACAGTGTTTGTAACAAGCTTTTTTTTTCCTGGTGAAATCCTCTTTATGTTAAAACTCGTGGTGGTGTCCCAGAAGCTTCCAGGTCAAGCTCCTGGATCACTATAACTGTACAGATGTTATTGAAGAAGAAATTGTGGCATAAAACACATGGGTAGACAAAGTGGCTGAAAAGTTGTTGCTCCTTGAACTTGAAACTAATCTTTGGTGCAAAGTTACGGATATTTGGCAATTTTTCATCTCTGCTATGTTAAAACAAAATAATTTTAAATAACTGATTGAAAAAAACGTACTGGGGTGTTTTTCTCCCCAGGGCTGTAAACCAGTTTGCTGGGGTTAAGATCAGTGATTAATTTTACTGTTTTATCCAAAAAAAAAAAGCATCAACCCAACTTGGGACTATGTATTTATGCAGAGTTGCTGTTTTGAAGTGAAGGTGTGAACAAACTTCATGCTGCACTTTGGAATAAATTATTTGGGCCCTTAATACAGGAGGTTACGTGATAAATATTTTAACCCAATTTAAATGTTCTGCAGCTCCTGACAGTCACAGATTTTCTCCCCAGTTGCTGGTGAACTTCCACAGAGATCATTCCTGGGAGTATTTCCGTGTGAAGCAAACTCTGGGTAGTGTTAATTTGTCAGAGAACTGAAATTTCAGAGAAGTGTTTACGAACACTGCGCCTGCCAACGCGGGGCACCGCGGGGCAGCGCTCGGGGTGGTTGGTCGGGCTTGACATTTGGGGAGTGAGTTGTTTTACACAGGGAAAGGATGTGTCTTGTGGGTGCTGGGAATGACCAGAGCTGACTGTGGAAAGCAAGGCTTTGAACCCCAGGGTGGGACACGATGGTCTCTGGTGAGGCCCCGCCTGGGTCACCGTGCACAGTTCTGGTGCCTCCGGAATAGGAAGGTCGTGGAACTGTTGGTGGAGTCCAGAGGAGGCCACGGAGTTGCTGAGGGGACTGGAGCACCTCCCCTGTGGAGACAGGCTGGGAGAGCTGGGAATGTTCAGCCTGGAGAGGAGAAGGTTGTGTGGAGACCTCACAGCACCTTCCAGGGTCTGAAGGGGCTACAGGGAAGCTGGAGAGGGACTGTTCATTGGAACTGGAGTGACAGGACAAGGGGGAATGGCTTCAAACTGACAGAGGGGAAATTTAGGTTGGATATTGGGAAGGAATCGTTCCCTGTGAGGGTGTGGAGACCCTGGCACAGGTTGCCCAGAGAAGCTGTGGCTACCCCTGGACCCCTGGAAGTGTCCAAGGCCAGGTTGGACGGGGCTTGGAGCAACCTGGGAAGATGCTCATGGCAGGGGATGGAACAACAGGATGATCTTTAAGGTCCCTTCCCGCCCAAACCGTGATTCTAGATAAAAACCCCATGTTCTGGATGTTGACTGTCTGGCTGCTCCTCATTAAGTACTACCTTTGTCATGGTAAATGTAGTTTTCACATCTTTATCCTGCAAATTCATTTTCTGTTGCAGAGCAACTCAAGGTATAAACCCTTCTTTTTCCTGGAGAGCTTTATGTAACTGTGCTTTTTTTTTTTTCCCCATCACCTTGACGTGTCACTCTTGCTGCAGCAAATTTATTCTGGGTTTGGTTGTTATTTCAGTGCTTTCATTTGTTTAAGGTGAGATTGGGTGATGGTTGCTCAGTGGAGGAAAAGCTCATCACGTTAAGTAGATCGCTGTATGTGATGGGTCTCATCGTCAATTTAAATTATTGTGCCTCGCAAGTGCTGCTTCTGGAATTGTCTGAAACAGCTGCAATGTCAGAGGCAGCTCTTTGCTACAGATAATGAAGTTTAAACCTCTTTAAACATCACTCAAAACATGAAATACCAGAAATCCGAGGTAAAAACCCAGTATTTTGACTGTTGCTGTTGTTACAAAAATGCATAAAAATGTAGGTTGCCCCTCTAAACGTCTCCCTGGTGTGTTTATTGTCCTTGCAGGCACTATCCTGGTTGACAACATGCTGATCAAAGGGACAGCAGGAGGGCCTGACCCCACCATCGAGCTCTCCTTGAAGGACAACGTGGATTACTGGGTGATCCTGGATCCCATCAAACAGACCCTGTACCTGAACAGCACCGGCCGAGTCCTGGACAGGGATGTGAGTCTGGGGGGGCTCTTTGTTTGCTTTCCTCCCCCTGGACATCAATTCCTAATTAACCATAACCACCAGACCGACTGGGATATAATTCCTGCATCTATCTTGTCCCCAGATGGATGTGGACAGAGTTAATTGGATTCTTCATTAGGATTTATTGGGAGCACACAGAAACTTGGCCATGTGTGCAAATACTGTGTGTGGACAAACACAGCAATAAAGACCAACCAAACAAAGGTGTGGGTTTTACATCCAACCAAACCTGGCCCCTCTGCTGAATTAAATTTTTATTGTGCATTGAATTATGAGATGTGAGAAGAGCAAGGGACTTGTGACTACTACAAATCACTTACAAAGCTTGACATGTTCAATTGAGAACGTGCTGGTTTAGATGCTTTTTTTAGGGCAGCATAAAATTCATGTGGTACATTCGTTCCTAATGGCATTGAAAGAAATACTGTCAGGCTAAGTTTGACTTTTATAAAAAGAAAGCTAAAAAGCACAAAAGAAATAGGAGTGTTCTCATCTAGGCTAATTTCATTGAAGAACAACACTTTATAAATATAGAGATATCTTCTCACAGTGTTGCAGCATTGCTGCAGTTCATCAGAACCCTGAAAGGAAAATTGACTCCAAAGTGCTGTAATCAATATGGCAAGGATGCTTTAAAACTCAGGAGTTGTACTTGGAGTGCGGGGAAGTTTGTTTTGTATTAGCTTGATTGATTAATTTGTCTTCTCCATGTGTTTTGAGATCTGTTCATAAGTACCAAAAACAACATGCAAATTTTCCCTCATTTCCATTTTGAGCTGAAAAGAGCTAATTGAATTCAGCTGTTCTTAATTTAGTTTTAATTCACAAGCTGTTCTCAGATGCAGAGCACAGAGTGGCACAGTGGTCACGGTGGCAGAAGCCTTGTGGTGCCTCGGCAGAGCCGGCGCTTGTTCGAGCACCCAACAGCAGCTGCTGGAACATGTTTGGCCTTTCAGTTTTCATTTGAAGTCAGAGCAAAAAAAATGAGAGCCTGGAATGGGAGGTGAGGCTTAAGAACCACTGTAAGAAATGCAGGGTCCATTCTTCCTCAGCCCACGGAATCCTGCACGTCCATATGGGGTCAGGAACTGGCATTAATCCCTGTTAGGTCAATGCTAATTCTTTTTCAGTGCCCCTTTTAGTGACAGTTCTCTCCCTCTGGGGTTCTTCACCTGAGCTGCTTGACCTGAATCTTGCTTTACCAAAAGGACCTTGTCAGATTATTTGAGTTCCAGTATTAGCAACAATCTGAATCAACTCACAGATACTTCATATCCTATGAATTCACAGCCACTTTACAGTGATGCTCCTTGCCAGAAGGAGACTCAAGTCCAGAGGACAATTGAAGTGTGTACCTATATAATTATATATAGATAATAATGTGTTTAAATTGGTATTTAAGGTATTAATTCCTCACTTTTTGCTGTGAACTTTTAACACGTCTTATCCCCGGTACTGTGTAAAATTACTCCTTGGTGATTATTTAAGTTTAATGGGCTATGAAAAGAGAATCTGGGATTTGAGGTCATTTAGGTTTTGGGTGTGAGCCCCACTGTAGATCTTCCATGGGCTCAGTGAATTGCTGGAACTCACAAGCCAAAGAAAATGAAAGCAGCCCTCAAAAACCCCAGGGACTGAGAAAAACTACGAAATGGGCTTGATTAATGTGGCTCTTTTGGGGCCAGGGGGAAGTGGTGGGTTGGCAGTGCTGGGTTAACTGTTGGACTTGGTGCTCTTGGGGGTCCTTTCCAACCTTAATGATTCTAAGATGCTGTTTCCAGCCTTCAGAACCAGCTCTGTGCTCACCCCCAAAATGCAGAATCGTTCAGACTGTGGGTGGTTCCTTCTTTTGTTAAAAAAAAAAACCCAAATGTGTTTTTCTCATCTTTCAAGTTAAAACCAGGTGAAACTTTGTGGTACCAATGGAATTTGGGGGGGTTATTAAGTCAAACCTTCGGATTCAGTTTTTATTACAGAGGAAAGATATATTCTCTGATTCACAAATGGTGCATGAACAAGCACATTCAATATATTTGGATACTCTTCCCATTTTTCTCTCCCTGCTGATTCAGTTATCCTGATCCTGTTCCTGTGTTTTATTGCCTTTCTTGAAAGCAAATCTTATTAGATTCCATTGATTGATTTTACTAAGAATGGCAGTGTGTTTTCCAAATAAAATCAGATAAAAAGAAAATTCCAGACTTTGCTTCCAAGTACTTAGGAAGGGTGAATAGTGATAGTTCAGAGCTGAAGGTGCCAGGAGCTGCTAAGAGGTGCTGGAATGATCTGTCCCCAGTGTCATAAACAATTTGTGCCATTGTGCCATTATGTATTTATTTTTTTTGCCTATAAATGCCCAGACTGATGAGAGTTTGTTTAAACACCTGATTTTAGTTTTAAGCACTGACCCAGCAGAAATTGTACATCTGTGAAAGGAATGCTGGTCCTGTTTCTCTCATATTTTATCAAAAGCAACAAACTATTTTTTCCATGTTCTCGTAACAAAGACCAAATCCAGAATATCAAATGGTTATCAAATATCTATTTTTTTAACTAATTGTATTTTTCTTGGGCATGGCTAATAAATCTAGATCTACTCAGTAGTGTTTAAGCTTTTTAAAGGCAGCCTAAAAATTCTTGGATCTTACTCAGATGAGTAGTAATAGACATTCCAGCCTAAATTTCTTTGCCCATTCATCAAGTTTGGGAGTTACTTGTATTTGAAAATTATGATGTTCACTGGAATGAAAACATCAGGAGTCTGGGCTGTCTACACTGAAAGTTGTTTGTGAAGTATTTGTAAATGTAAATGGGAGAAAATTGGATTTATTTCTGGTTTGACCTTTCAATTGGAGACAAGAAAGAAACAAGAAAGTCATTGGAG